GCGGAAGCAAGAAGACGGTGTAGATTTCAACAGCCGTTCGGAAAGAAACATAAGGACCGCATCTACTGTTGCATCGGCGGCTGGCCCATCTTCAAGACGTGCCGCAAGGGTTTAGGCCAGTTCCACGCGCCAGGCTTCGCGGGCCCCCTGTGGCACCCAGCTGACCCCGACCTTGAGGACATCATTGTTCGCCCTTCCTTCGACGTTGAGGTGGAGGCCACGTGCGTCGGCTTCAGCATTGCAGTGATGCTCCTATCGCCCGATCGCTGCATCCCTGCATCCGCTTCATTCATCATGATGTGATCAGATCATGAGATCAAGTCCTTATGTGTCTGCGCGCGTGTTCAATCGCGCGCGTGTCTGAATGCACGCGCGCATGTTTTGTGCATGTGCATAAGTAAATTGCGCGCTTAGACCGTGCAGTTATCGCGTCGTCGGCACAATCGGGCGTCGATCGCCCGGGCCCTTTCTGATTGGCGGTCCGATGACAGACTTGCTAAGGCCCGCACTTGCGACGTAAGCTTCATCACCCATGACGGCGCCACGACCACTGTGACGGATATCAGTTGGAGCGCAACCTGGAAGTACGTGGAGAGCCGGGTCCAGGCGGGCCTCGGCTTGCCCCCGCATCGCCGCATTCTGTTTGAGGCGGCGGCCTCATAATCGCATCGGTCAGATCTGGTGATCGCAGCCGCCGCGAACCGACGGTGTATCTCGGTCGGTCGCGCAGATAGGTGATCGCGGGCATTGCGGTCGTTTCGCCATCGCTCCAGCTGCGGCGGGGATCGCTCGCGGTGTCGGGCGTTAGTAAGCATCTGAGGTGGACGGAGATGAGCCGAGTGGCCGCATGAGGGTCGGCCCGAGTTTTGGATTTCGTTCGGTCCGCGGCCGCTTTGCATGAGAGCGCCGCTTCGGAGGTCGATCTGCCGCCCCCGAGTTACAACCGTCCGTCAGACTCGACGGCATAGCCAGGCCCGCGACAATTGTCTGGCAACCAGCTTGCAACCATCGGCCAATGGAATAAACCGAGTTCGTCACAATGGCAGTCGTTGTCACCCCTTCCCGCCCTCTCTCACTCTCTCTCTCTCTCTCTCTCTCTCTCTCTCCTCTCTCTCTCTCTCTCTCTCTCTCTCTCTCTCTCTCTCTCTCTCTCCTCTCTCTCTCTCTCTCTCTCTCTCTCTCTCTCTCTCTCTCTCTCTCTCTCTCTCTCTCTCTCTCTCTCTCTCCTCTCTCTCCTCTCTCTCTCTCTCTCTCTCTCTCTCTCTCTCTCTCGTCTCTCTCTCTCTCTCTCTCTCTCTCTCTCTCTCTCTCTCTCTCTCTCTCTCTCTCTCTCTCTCTCTCTCTCTCTCTCTCTCTCTCTCTCTCTCTCTCTCTCTCTCTCTCTCTCTCTCTCTCTCTCTCTCTCTCCTCTCTCTCTCTCTCTCTCTCTCTCTCTCTCTCTCTCTCGCTCTCTCTCTCTCTCTCTCTCTCTCTCTCTCTCTCTCTCTCTCTCTCTCTCTCTCTCTCTCTCTCTCTCTCTCTCTCTCTCTCTCTCTCTCTCTCTCTCTCTCTCTCTCTCTCTCTCTCTCTCTCTCTCCTGTCTCTCCCTCTCTCTGTCTCTAGGTGATTTTGGCTCAGACTGCGCCCTCCGCAATCGCATCTACGCCAAACTCTGACTCTCGAGTCTGGTAGCACCAAATGGCGCCTGTCCGCGCTTTCTCGCCATCGCGCGCACTCTCGCAGGATACTTCTCGGCTGATCGTGAAGAACACGTTCCTCGACGTGCCAGAGGGCGCCGCCCGTCCCCCGCGGCGCAGCGCATCTGTTCCTGCGCGGGGCGGCAGGGACGCCGACGACCCGATGGCGGGCGGGCTTGCGCCCGGCCAGGCCTCGCCGCGCCCCGAGGAACGCACCCCCAGCGGTCGTGCTTATCCGATCTCCAGGGCCTCCCACTCGAGGCTGGTGAAAGAGTTGACGCACATCAACTCCACGCTCGCTCCTGCGCGGGGCTACGCGCAGATGCCAGTTGGCAATTCTTCCTTCAAAACAAAAAGCGTCAACTGGCAGGTGCCGCCCCGCGCCGCGGTGGCCTGGCACGTGCTGGTTCATTCCATGGGCTCTGGCAGCGTCGCACTCAGAGCCCCCGCGGCGCAGGGGGGGGCGCCGCGCCGATCGCCAATCGGCCGTCAGAGGCGCGCTGTGTCGAGGCACCAGGTATACGACAATCCTACTGACATCGAGAACCTCGACTCGATCGTCAAAGACTTCGCGAGGCCAGGCTTCTGCGAGCCCGCGCGCGCGCCCCCCTGGCGCCGCTCCGCTGTTCGCAGGTCCAAGACAGACCGCGGCTCGCACTCCGCGAGCGAGCGGCAGGCCGCCGTGCACGCGGCGGAGTCTACCCAGGAGCCGCCTTGCGGTGCATCCGCGATAACATCCTGGACAACAAGGAGGGCAAGATGTGTCTTCACTGCTGCAAAGGTTTGGCGGCTGGGAATCAACGCAAACACGCTCGCTGCAGACGGGGGGGGGGAGCTTGGGGATGAGGGGTCGCGAGGTTGGCGGGCGTGGCCGTTGATTCCCACTGCACCTAGAGGTAGACTCGGCTATCTTCGCAAGGTGAAAGGCCGCGGCCTTCGGTACAGGTGCAACCGCAAGGGCTGTCAGAAGTTCACTGTTCCACATGCTCATCACCCCGTCTTCTCTACTGGGTGGGGGGCCACGCATTCGCCTTTCAAGAAGCAGGTGGCCATCTTGTTCAGCATTCTAGCAGGAGGAAGCAATCCCACGATTCGCAGATTGATCTCTTCCGCAAACCACAAGGCGATCGAAAGGATCTCGATTGCCGTGAAGAAGCAGCGCGAGAAGTTTGTCAAGAAGCGAGGGAAGACGATCGTTTTCGGGGTTGGCAACGACCGCGACTGGAGGGGCGCTGAAGCAGATGAAGCAGTCTTTGGAAGGGCAGCCAAGGCGGACGACCCCGAGAGCGTGGAATGGGAGCAATGGGCGGGCATCGTGGAGCGAGGCCGGCCCGAGTCGCTGGTGCTGGCGAAGACTACCGCGGCTCCCACGGTGAAGAGGGCTCCTGGGCCAGGCGCAATCAGGAAGGTCGATTGGGCGCCTCTGGCAAACCGCTACTTGAAAGGTAGACGCATTATTTTGCATACGGACCGCGCTAAGAGCTACGCCATGCGAGTTGATGGAGTGTTGCACGATTCAGTGCGGCACTGCAAAAAGAGAGTGAACAAGAATGGAAAGTGGGTGTGGATGAAGCCGTGCTACGCGCGCTTGGCAACGCATAAGCTTCCATGTGGTAGGAAGTTGCGCACCAAGGCCGGCTCCCAGGTTATCGACAGCGCTTGGAAATACATCCGCTCAACCTTGGGTGGCCAGACAATGGTGCCCAATTCTGAGACGGCCGCCGCTGCAATTCGCAGCGCCCAGTGGCTTTACTGGCACAGGGGCAAAGACCTCTGGGCCGAGATGGGATCCACGTTCTGTGCCAACTTTTGGCGGAGGTAAATTGTTACTGCAAACTTGGACAGCGATGGTGTCCTCGTACTTCTTTGCTTTGAAAAGGGCTTCAAGGTAGATCTCAGAGGGGGGGGGCACGCATACATATATATATAGATGTGTATGTACAGGCACATGTGTAATACGTACATCCGCGAACGATGTATGTATGTATTCAATGCATGTGTATGTATGTGTGTTTGTGTGTATGTATGTGTGTATGTATATATGTATGTATGCATGTATGCATGCATGCATACATGCATGTATGTATGTATGTATGCATGTATAAATGTATGTATGTTTGTATATATATATATGCATATATGTATGCACGTGTGTGTATGCATGCGTGTCTGCTTATTTTTAGTTTGGTGCGAACATTTGCATGCATCTATGTATGTATATATGTATGCATGCATGCATGCATGTATGCATGCATGTATGTATGTATGTATGTGTATATATGTTTGCAATATATACTTATTTACGTGTATGCATATATGCATGTAAGTGTGTATGTATGTATGTGCGCATGCATGTATGTATGTGTGTATATTTATATACGTATACATCTAGGCATGCATATATTATCTGTATGCGTGCATGCACGCATGTTTGCACGTATCATAGGGGTACATGCATGTGTAGGTGTTTGTGTGTATATGCATGTATGCTTATGCGTGTATATGTAGTGCATGCTCATGCACGTAGATCTGTATTTGTATATAGGTATATCTACGCATCCATGTATGCATGTATCCACGAATCCCTGCACACATCTATTTATGTAGGCTTGCATGTATGCGTATATGCATGCATGGACGTCTGTATGCATGCATGCATGCTTGTATGCCTGTATGTATGTATGTATGTGGGTACGTACATGTGTATGTATGCATGTATGTATGCATGTATATTTGTATACACTCAGGTTATGTACGCAATGTAATGTAATGAAACGCGTTGTACTGTACTGAAGTCTAATATATGGATATTTGTATGCATGTATGTGGGTTTGTATGCACGTATGCATTTTTGTATGTATGTATGTGTGTACTTGATGTTTGTAGGTATGCGTATTTGTACATGTGCTTTGTTTATATGTTTAAATGTACATACGTACGTACGTATGCATGTACGCATGAACGCATGCACATATGTACGTATGTACGTATGTTTGTACGTAGTTATGCCGGTATAAACATGCATGTATGTGTACATGTATACATGCACGCATGTATGCATGTATGTGTACATGCATGCATGCATGCCTGTATGCGTATATGCACGTTTGTATATCTGTGTGTATGTTATGATGTATGCGTGTGCGTAGCTTAGTGAATGTATATGTATATACATATGTATGTAGGTTTGTGTATTTACGGATATACACAAACATCTATGTGTTTGCATACATGTATACACATGAACGTATGCACATAATTATCTCTAGGTGTCCGTATCTTCATCTTCTCAGAGGAGTAGAAGCGGGACGCATCCCTCCCAAG